CACACACACACACACACACACACACACACACACACACACACACACACTGGGAACAGGCTCCCCTGGTCCCGGATGGCCCTGGCCCCATCTCTGCATCGGATGCAGGACCCGTGTCCGAGTCCTGTCCAGACTCCTGGACTGTCTGATTCCGCTGCCATCTGCACCGGCTGCCGGTGAACCCTAACGCATGCTATTAAGTGAATCTACCTTCTCTCACTGACTTTGCTTGTGGGAAGTCATCTGGAAAGGCCACAACTGGCGATCACAGAACCTTGGATGCTGCAAACCTTATAAATTACATACTGGTTGCCAGGGCCCCGAATTTTGATCTCAATCACGGGGATGCTACAACAATCCTGATCAAGAGTGCCTTTTTTTTCAGTGCCGTTATAACTTTGAACTATCACTAAAAAAAATGGTTGTAAGTTGAGGACTATCTGTATTATGAAGAGGGTCTAACTTTCCTAGAACATAGAATAATAGGGTTGGAAGGGATCTCGGAAATCTTCTAGTCCAACCCATGGCTGAAGTAGGAGACCCTATACTGTTCCAGACAAATGGCTGTCCGCTTTCTTCTTGGAAATATCTGATGTTGGAGCACCCACAACTTGTAGAGGCAAGCTAGGAGGTTGATTCTCTGTCTTAATGATCTTCCACCTGATACTATTTCTTCTGCCCTCAGGTGCTTTGGAGAATAAGTGGACTCCCTCTTCTTGGTGGAAACCCCTTAAATATTGGAAGACAAGGATCAGATCCTTCCCAGTCCTTCTCTTCATTAGACTAGTCATACCCAGTTCCAGAGGTGCTATTCAGCTGGTTCTGACCAGTTCTGGAGAACCGGTAGCAGAAATTTTGAGCAGTTCGGAGAACCAGCAAATCCCACCTCTGACTGGCCCCGCCAACCCCATTTATTCTCTGCCTCCCATTGAGTCCCAGCTGATCGGCTGGGTCTTCTTTGGTTGCCCTGCACAGGAGAACGGAGCTGGAAAGCAGGTTAGTAGGGTGGGGAGAGAATGGGGGATTTTGCAGGATCCTTCCCCTGCCACGCCCACCAAGCCACGCCCACAGAACCGGTAGTCAATTTTTTTTTGAATCCCACCACTGCCCAGTTCCTTCAATTGTTCATCACATGGTTTAGCTTCCAGACATTTCATCATCATTGTTGCTCTTCTTGTTACCCTTTCTAGGGTCTTTCAGGCAGGCTAGAACAGCCGTAGCCCTGGTTTTTTTTTTTTAAATGCAAGACTAGCGTTTCGACTGTGAGACCAGCACTGAAGGAAAACATCTCATGAAATATGAACGATGCATCTCTTTCAGAGAGGAGACCAAACCAAGAAGCAGTTTGCAAGAAAAAAGGAGAAGTAAAAATTGAAAACCGCTTTGCCAGCCAGTATTTTTCTCTAACCTGGCTGCCATCCAGTCTCCTTATTAAGAGATTAGCTGGCTCAGCTGTGACCGGCTATTCATGTCGAAAAAAGGTGGAGGAAGCATGTTTGAATTGGGTTTTCTGGTCTCCATCACCCCAAGTTATGTTCAACCCCAGGCAGGTTTTATAAAGAGAAAATAGAGCTGCATCGGTGAGCAAGCCCAACCCGCTAGGGAAGCTGAATTACTACCGTGCTTCCTTCATCATCTCCAATGAAAGCCAGAAAATTCTTTTCAGTTGTTGTTTTTTAAAATCCACAGTGGACAACAATTGAGAACAGTTACAGTAAATTTTTTAAAACATTCAAACATTGGCAATTCAGAAAAAGCCTTGAGCAGTGACATATTCAAAGACACTATTGGAGGGCCGCTATGTTGGTCTCTTAGCGGCACCTTTTCAAACTATTCTGCTTTATTAAAAGGCAGAAGCTTTCTTGTAATATTTAACACAATTTGTTAGCTCCAGAGGCTGTATCTGCAAGCAACCAGTACCTATTTATCTGGTTCTTAGGAATCAAAGCACGGATTGACTGATCTTTCCCTTTCTTTTTTGCTGACGTTTTCAATGCATTCACAATGAGGCCCATTTAGTAAAAAAAAATTTCTTCTGAAATCAGATGTATTCTTACAGCAGTTTTATTCTTCTATTAAGTCGTGTCCAATTCTCAGAGATTTCCTGCAGACAAGTCCCTGCAGTTTTCTTGGCAAGGTTTTTCTGAAGTGGTTTGCCACACTTCCTCTTAAGTAATTCCTCGTTCTGAGGAGGGGAAGAGGTGGGATTCAAAAAAGGTTATTACCGGTCCTCTGGGTGTGGATTGGTGGGCGTGGCAGGGGAAGGTTACTGCAAAATCCCCATTTCCTCCCCACCCCACTATACAGCTTATATCCTGCCACAATGCCTTGAACACTGTCAAACAATAACACCTGCCTATCATAGGTCCTTATGAAGGACTTGATAGGCAGATAAAAATGCCAAATCCAGTCTGACCATCTGACTGTGTGATGGACCATAATAATATAAGATTGTCACATAATATTAGGTCAGGGAAATAGAAAAGGGGGACACAGGACTAATTTCAACTGATAGGGAATCTCTCTCAAATAGTTAGCTAGACATGCAACTAGAATAGAATAGAATAGAATAGAATAGAATAGAATAGAATAGAATAGAATAGAATAGAATAGAATAGAATAGAATAGAATAGAACAGGAATCTGTATTGTCACTTTAAATGTACACTAATCAACACTATTCTGAGATTCCAAAGCCTAGTCATAATACACCTGTCACAACAGGAAATTACACATTTCCATGTGCATCAAGTAGGCAAGAGACTTTCCGTGCATCAATCAAACTGCCTACAGTACATCATGAATGAAGTGACACCGTTTGTGTCATTTGTTGATGATGTCATGACACGTGATATCCGTAATCCATAATCTTGGAATATTTCACTTCACCTGTGCTCTTCCTTTTTCACCAGGCACCAAAAGCTACCGAGAACACGGCCATCGGATGCTTCTGATATGGCTTCATGGGACCATCATGGCAGGAGAAAACACAATCAAAGAATTGTATGAAGGGCTGGTTAGCATTGGGAGGAGTGACTTAGCAGGTAGGGTGATGCCTTGGCCCTTCTCTTTAGTCTATTGAGCTGGTTCAGTCCAGGATCAGAGCCGTGGTGGCGCAGTGGTTAAGAATGCAGTCTTGCAGGCTACTTCTGCTCGCTGCCAGCTGCCTGCAGTTTGGCAGATTGAATCTCATCAGGCTCAAGGCTGACTCAGCCTTCCATCCTTCCGAGGTGGGTAAAATGAGGACCCAGATGGTTGGGTGCAAGAGACTGACTCTGTAAAATAGTTGTTGTGGCCCACCGGCGGCCTGACAGAGCTGGAAGCAGAGTCGGACAGTAGTGAGGAGGTTGGGGAGGAACCTCGGCCAGTTCTGGAGACTGAGGAAGTCCCAGAGGAGGGCCCAGCATGAGAGGCAGAGATGGGGCCAGGACAGGCTGGCAGTCAGCAGCTGCCTTTGGATTCGGACAGCAGTGATGCGGGGGAGCTTCTGGAACCGGTTCCCAGCCTGAGCATGTGCAGAGATCTAGCAAAAGACAAGAACAATTGAGAAACCAGGGTCGATTCAGGAGTAAGGCCACACCTCGGAGATGATTGGTCCCTCCCATAGGACATAAAAGAGGAGTGAATGGGATCTGAGCTTTTGCAGGAAGCAATCTGGTCAGTTTCAAGCTTTGAAAAGTTCTGTTTGACTCTGTGGCAGGTTTGGCCTTGCCCTGCATCTGGCAATTAGTTCTCTGGCCACATTCTAACTGTGATAAGGTGGGTGTTTATAAGCATCCCCCTGAAAGACTGTTTGTGAAGCCTTGTGAATGAACGTAATTCACAGCCATGGAAATAAAAGAGGTTTTGCCAGGATTCAGACTGTGTTTTATGCTTTCTAAGGAAGCCTAGGTCAGAACAACCGCTTAGAGGGGGCTGGAAAGCCCTGTGATATAAGTCTAGGTGTTATTGCTCTATCCTGGATCAAGCCAAAGTCCAGTTTAGACACATATGTATGTTTTCTCTTCCATCAGAAAGTATCCGGAGACAAGCGAATGCAGATTCCCCCGCATCTCCACGGAGGTGTTCAGCAATGTGAGATCCGAGGTGTTTCAGAACATGGCTCCACCATGCAACTCTGCCAGAGATTTCTTTCAGAACTTGCACCAAAAGGGCCACCATTTCCAAGGGCTTCTTGCCATCTTGAATGGCAACCTTTCTGATCCAGGTCAACCGTCTTATCAGCAGTTTCCTAAATCTCAGCAATGCATCTCTAGAGCCTCAGCTGGAGAGAAGGGGAAATAACGGATTTTATTTTTTCCTCCCCGAGGTCTGAGACAAAGTCTAAAGCTAACTTTGCAAGGGATTTTTTTTTTAATCTGTTCTTATCATTGCCATACGATAGCATTGACTTAATGTTTATGGAGATTCTCAGTCGTCCCGTTGACTTGATATCTGGAATAATGGTCACAAGGAAGGGCAGGTCTGTACCTCTTTATACGTGCCCTTAATTGGGAAAATCTCAGCATCCAACCAGCTTCCTGTTGTCTTGTGTTGTAGTAACACAACTAATGTCTCTAAAAACTTTTGGCTACACCTCACACCACAAGTACCCGATTGCAAACTTGCGTTGCTAAGGACAATCATCACTCTGGTGCTAATAATCTCTTTTTTAGTCCAGAGTTAACTTGTTTCTGACCTATTCATGTCGCTATCTTTGTTTTCCAATCAGGATTCCTAAAGATGCATTTCCTTCAATGGACTCTGCTCACCCATCTTATCCTAAAAGCATGCTTTCTAGACGCATAGCCAGAACGTCTGCAATAATCTGGCAGCTCCACTTTGGATTAATCCAAGTTTCAAAAGTTGTGCAATGCTTGCTTTTCAAGTGACTGTTCTAAAATATTGAGAAGTGGGGATTTTATGCCTCTCTCCCCCAACATATAATATAGCCCAAGTGCTTGTGCAGACTTGGGATACACTGAGATGAATACGATAATTGGGATCGTGCTTGTTTGCATGGGAAAATTTTCCAGTCCAAAATTTCCTTGAAACTCACAGCTTTTGCTTCAAAGTTACTTTATTTCTTTCACTTCCTTCCAATACCTTTGGAAAGCTCTTCTTTGGCTAAATTTCTGACACCTGTAGATATCACAACATCCAGCTCTCGCCATAGATTATAGCAAAATGATCCTCTTAAAACTTAATGGGTCCGTCTTGAAAACTCTTTTGAGTTCACACAGTACACATTCCATCTAGTTATTATCTCATTTGCTGCATTAATTGAACCATAAGCTTATCCAAGGTGAGCCATCAAGCAAAACTTAACCGTGGTTAAAACTGACCACAATTACAATGGAACACACACTTATGGCTGCTAGCTTTTGCTAACCTGATTCAGGGTGTTTTGTGAACAATCAAGGGACATAGGTCTTCTGGAAACAGAGCCAAAATTAGTTGCACTAACACTACAACAGCCACAAGGTCCCACTAATATAACAGCAGCTCGGTTCTCTATAGGGGCCTGGCAATCTCTGCTTTAGTTCACCGCATCCTTTTGTTGAACATTACTCCAAATTTGGATGTCCGCACCTGGGGAGAACAGCTAGCTCAATCCGTATGACATTTAATGCTAGGTGGCTTAGGAATGCAAGGGGGGGACCATTCCACTATTTCAGCCAACATTTTTGTGATTCGTATTTTTTTTTATTTTATATATCTCAACTATGCACATAGCTAGGGTGGGTGGGTGGCTTCTCTGCCTCTGGCTGGGCCTCTTCAGCCCAGCCTCTTTCAACCTTGGGTCATTTCCTTTGAGGAAGGGGTCTTCAAATGTGGCAAGTTTAAGACCTGTGGACTTCAACTCCCAGAATTCCTAAGCTAACATGACTGGAGGAGGGATTCTGGGAGTTGAAGTCCACAAGTCTTAAAGCTGTCAAGTTTGAAGAGCCTGGCCTTGGAGAAAGAGATTGACACACCAGCCGGCCTACGCTGTGATCTGCCAGAAAGGCAGTGGGCTAGGATACAGCTCTAAGACTGGTGCCTGGAGGTGCATTGCACACTTTCTTTGGGCATTGGTTGCTCATCTCTGGTGAAAGGGAAGGCAGGAAGAAGTTGCTCTAAGTCACGCCTTGCACTTTGAAGTCGCTTCTGTCCAGGTGATGGAGGATACCAATTGCAGGGGAGAAGCTTGGGACTGTCCCCAGCCTCCATCATTATTTGCCCTGATCCCAAAGTCCTGGAGGGGACCCTGGGCCTAGGATTTACACACACATACAGACATGTTTCCAGCTGTACAAATATGCACTTTCAAATTCAAAACAGTGTTTTGTTCTCACATGCCGATAGGACAGTGTTTTATCTACAGACAGTACACTTTTCTTAAATTTGTCATGAAGTTTTTGTATTTTTAAAGCAATGTTGAAATGTCTGGTTTTCAAATAAATGGTTTCCCCCCCTCGTGTAGTTCATTTGTTTGTAGTTCCTGAAAACCTGGGAACTGTCACTTCGTAGGAAACCTGGATTGTTTCAGGTCTCAATAACCATCTCCAACTTTGAATAAACTTTAATCTTCTGGAATTATGAAGAGCACAACTGGAAATTCTGAATTTGTAAAATTTGTAAAATTCTAATTTAACTGGAGGGCTCCAGGTCAGGCAGGATACTACACCTCCAAACCTTAAGGACGAAGCAAAGCTATTACCTTGCAAATTCTTCATAGCAGAATAACTGGGGTCCTTCCCACACCCAGTTAAAATTTTATTCAAAAATGATAGCAAATTAATTTTACAAAAAAACCCCTTTGATTTCAAGTCATTAAGCGGCAACAATATATAAAGAAACATAACAGCAACACTGACACTTCCAACATAGTTTAAAACTAAATATTCAAATTATAAATGAGCTTACAGTCATCTGTAATTTGTTCATAATAGCCTTTCTCTGCATGGAGATAGAGATTTGTATATATACATATATATTAAAAAGATTTATTCTCTGTAAGAGCACAGTAATGAAGGCTTTGGTACCAAAAGTTTGTCTCTGACAGTTGCATTCGTTCTGTTTTTTTAAACGAGTCTGCCAAAGTTGCATCCTTAACTTTTATTATCCAAACTTAGCTTGTGAAACAGAAATGGGAGCGAGCATCCGTAGCCTTATTTCATATAACGAAATCCATCCAGCTGAGTTTAAAGGACACAATTCTAGCCAGTTTAGTGGGAAAAGAGAAAGGCAAGAAGGTCAGATGTGACTGGGTAGGACATCTGCCAACAAAGGAAAGAGGCGAGGCCCTCCAGGTGAAAGAACAGCCAATCAGCTGCTTACAATGGTTGTTCTTGTTCGTTGCTAGATTGGAGATTGGCTTTCTGGACTTCTAGTTCTTCTGCACTGATCATGGAAGGGTCAATAGCAGCATATCTGGTCCCATGGAACTGAAGCAAGTGTATCTGTAGGGCAGATGGACAGAACTAGAATCTATTTGTTCCTTTTTTTCTCCTTTAAACCATAAAACATTGACATTGACTCTACTTTCACCCATGAGAAAGGAAAATGTTGCTCAGAGTTGCCTGAACTGTGAGTGGCAAATAAATTGGGTGGATGGATGGATAGGTGGGTGAATTGAATGAATGAATGAATAAATGAATGAATGAATGAATGAATGGAATGAATGAATGAATGAATGTGTCAGCTTTGGAAGTCATATTGACATTCGATGCTCCCACAAGCCTGAGATAGTGCGAGGGCGGGATTTCAAATTGAGTATCTTTACATAGACAAAATGATATTCTTTTGTCAGTTCAAGGCCACGGTGTGCCGCAGAATGAAATAAGAATCTTACTCTAGGATGGAGCTCGTGATTGGGCCGTGTGATGTGATGACGGCCAAGGGTTGGGATGGATTTGTAGTTTTGGATATTGCAAGGAAGCCCGAAAACTTCCAGATTCGGGATTCCACAGATGTGCCAGTTACTATCCTAATAAAGCAATCTTTGAGAAGATGTCTGTCTCGGAGTTATTGGCTGGAAAGGAGGGTTGCTGGAACGCTGACAGAATGAATGAGTGAGCAGCAGGGCTTACCTGGATATACAGGTTTACTTCAGCACTTCTGCAGAGATATGGGAAATTGCCTCCTGTTTTAAGATGAGCTCTCCTGGCATTGGGATACAATTTATACATCTCTTCCTTGGCTTCTGTAGATAGGGCACTCTGATCAAATACCTAGAAGTCAAAACCAGCATGAGCTTTGCCATCCCTTATCACTGAGCTCAGGGTCTTTCCCTGAAGGGAATAAAAGTTCTCTCTTTTATTCCAGAAGGTCCCAGTGCTTGGAGGAAATGGTGCCGGTACGACCACCGTAGGCACAGATCCTCCTGGATTGGAGATTCCCACAAACCAACACCCAGCTAACCCAGTTTCATCCGATGCTTATCAGCTAGGAATATTGCAAGGTTGCTCACATCCATGATGGTGACAGGGACATCTCGGATCTTATGAGGTTCAACGTAGGAATTCTGGCAATTGAGAGTGAGTCTTGAAGCCAGCTCGCTCTGGCCCAAACTTTCCAGCTGTTAGGCGTTAAGAAAAACAAAACAAAAAAACAAAAACCATCTATTTTGGATCTGAAATCTGGCGACCAAGAAACAGAACGCAGAATACCAAAGTAGAAAGGGATCCTGGAGGTCTCCCAATATTACATACCATACAGGTAGTCCACGAGTTACGAACACAATTGAGCCCAACGTTTTTATTGCTAAGTGAGACATTTGTTTAAGTGAGTTTTGCCCAGGGGTGGGATGCAAATATTTTTACGACTGGTTCTGTGGGTGTGATTAGGTGGGCGTGGCCATGTGACTGGGTGGGTGTGGTTTCTTTTTTGCAGTACAACCCCACCCCACGGTCTGCTTTTTGGCCTCCTGGGCCTCAAGGAAGCCTCTGGGCGAAGCATTAAGACAGCGAGTGGGATCTTGGCACAGCTGATTGTTGGAACAGCTGATCGTCGGGGGGGGGGAAAGAAATACCTTAAGGAGTGACTGGGCAGCGGAGAACACAGTCAGCAATGTCGGGCATGCGCGCTGACTGGGCAGGGAGGGGTGGGTGGGGAGAGGCGGGGCCAGCCAGGGGCAGGATTTGCCGGTTCTCCAAACTGCGCAGAATCGTAACAACCGGTTCTATAGAACCAGATCCGAACCGGTAGAATCCCACCCCTAGTTTTGCCTCATTTTACGATCTTTCTTGCCACAGCTGTTAAGTGAATTGCTGAAATAATTACAATTAGTAACATGGTACATAAATG